TTCCACTATAACCAGCTGCCTTTCAGAGAGAGAAAATGCGTTTGCGTCACGACAGGGTCAGCATTTGCGTCAGGGGATTGTGAGCCTAGTCTGCTGCCAGGGGGAAATGCACGAGTGGGAAGTCACATTTTGCTCGTCTCCCTGCCTCCCCACAGATCCCCAAATGGGTGGCAGAAGGGCCAGCTGAGGACGCCGCCGTGTGCGTGAACTGTCAGAACAACAGCTTTGGGGAGAAATGCGAGAGCTGTCTGCACGGCTACTTCCTGCTGGAGGGAAAGTGCACCAAGTAAGGAGCTGGGAGGCCAAGGCTGAGTCTCGTTCTTATTTATTCTTAAAAAAAAAAAAACGTATGCTGCGTTCTAGGGCAAAACCTACCCCAGGGCTTCTTCCCATCATATGCGGTATCAATAAAACCACAGTATCAAACCGAAACATCATGACGCTACAACAGCAGCAGTAAAAACAACAGAGAACGCCACATATTAAAAGCACTTAGAAACAGGTTTCCCGCAATATCTGGTTGGCCGGGATCCCGGACTCGGATGTGCCACTGGCTGGATCCTATCAGGACCGTTCTTATACAGTGGTACCTCGGGTTACATACGCTTCAGGTTACAGTCTCCGCTAAGCCAGAAATAGTACCTCAGGTTAAAAACTTTGCTTCAGGATAAGAACAGAAATCGTGCTCCAGCAGCGTGGCAGCAGCAGGAGGCCCCATTAGCTAAAGTGGTGTTTCAGGTTAAGAACAGACCTCCAGAACGAATTAAGTTCTTAACCCGAAGTACCACTGTAGTCTTATGTTCAGGGTCCATTTAAAAACCAGTGGAATTCGGAATGGGTGGGCCATGCATATACCGTATTTCTCACTCTATAAGACGCACCCGACCATAAGACACACCTAGTTTTTAGAGGAGGAAAACAAGAAAAAAAATATTCTGAATCAAATGTTGTTGAAGAGGCTTTGTGTGGCTATCCCTGAAGCCAGAACAGCAAGAGGGATCGCTGCGCAGCAATCCCTCTTGCTGTTCTGGCTTCAGCGAAAGCTGCGCAGCCTGCATTCGCTCCGTAAGACGCACACACATTTCCCCTTACTTTTTAGGAGGGGAAAAGTGCGTCTTATAGATCGAAAAATACGGTATCTCCCTAGAGGCAGTAATGCTTCTGAATGCTGGTTGCTGGAAGTCACAGGAGGGGAGAGGGCTCTTGTGGTTGGGGGCTTTCAATAGGCATCTGGCTGGCCAATGTGAGATCAGGATGCCGGACTGGCTGGGCCGTTGCCCAGGTCCAGGAGGGCTCTTCTCATGTTCCTGTGTCTCCCTGTGACCCCTCTCCTCCCAGGTGCCAGTGCAACGGCCACGCTGACTCGTGCAACGAGCTGGATGGGACCGGCTGCCCCTGCCAGAACAACACGGAGACGGGAGGCTGCCAGAACAGTGCCCAGTCAGACAAAAAGGACTGCTATAAGCAACAGGTGAGGGGCGGAGCTGCGGCCGCAGGAGGCGGGTCCTTGGCAGGGATGAAAGAAGCTTACGGAACAAGGCGCAGTCCATCCGGAAGTTCTCCCCCACAATCCCCACTGCGATAACTGGGAGCCGTGCAAGAACGTTCATGGGGAAGGATACAGAATCATTTCTCTCCCAAGCACAGTATCTCCAGGCAGAGGTGTACCTAGGCTCCCTTGCCCTCAGCTGGGAGAGATCATGTAGCAGAAATGGAAAAAGTTTGCTTTTTGTCACCTTTCGTGCTCTGCCGGTAACTTCTTCTGCAGCCATCAGGGTTGGGTCTGCTCTGTTCTGCTTGCTGCATTCCCTTCTGGCTCCCCCCTCCCTTCCTTTTTCCTCCTCCTCCAGCTCTCACCTGCTTTCTTCATCTTTCTTCTCTCCAAACCCTACTGGGCTCTCCATACATACTCCTAATAGCGCCATCGGCCAACTGGGGCTGCTGTGATTGCTCACACCAGCAACCACATTCCTCTGCCAAGGCACCCAGGGGAGCTAGCATACCTTGCCCAGCCGTGCAGAGCAGCGGAGGAGCAGCCCGGGGAGTGCATAGTTGGGCAGGCAGAGTGGGGAGGGGCAATTTTTGCGGCCCCCTGGGCCTGTGTCCTTGGCAGCAGCCAACCCCTCGGTACATCCCTGTCTCCAGGCCACGCGGGAGAACTTCCAGGCAAACAAAGATTTGTGAGCACAGCACCTAATTAACCCATGGAGCTCCTTGCCACATGATTTTGTGTTGGGCTGTGATTGCATAAACCAACGTAGCCTGTAGATAGTGACCTGCCGTGATAGCCAGAACATCATTCTCTGTTCAGAAATCACATACTTCTGCTAGGAGATAAAAAGGGTGTAGGTGACGTCTCTTTTGCCACTCCCTCTGTGGTATTTGGACGACTGATTTTGGCAGGAAGACCAATAGGGATTGTTTTGTGTTGTAAATCTGTGCAGGGACAGCAACAGTGCACAATGTGGTGGTTATGGGCCACTTCTAAGACCTGCAGAACACCTTGTGCCACCCTTCGACTGGGAGAAGCAAAGTGAATTTAGCAAAGTGGTGAAGATTTTGGAATAAGGAGCAACAGTGCAGAGTCGTTTCATTTGCACCCCTTTCACAGAGTGAAGAATTTGGGTAGGATGGGCGTGAGACAGCTTGCGTGACCCCACCCCCAATCCCACTAAACTGACCTGCCTTTCCCCCCTTGTCCCCAACAGTGCGCCAAGTGCCGCGAGTTTTTCCACGGCAACCCGGTGGGCGGCCACCAGTGCTACCGGCTGATCATCGTGGACCAAGAGAGCTGCTTTGACCCGACGTCGCAGCTCAACTGCTTCCACGAGCCCAACATCAAGAACCTGCTGCTCGGCCGCTCCGTCTTCTTCGGCGTCCAGCCCAAATTCACCAACGTGGACATCCGCATCACCATCGACGTGACCTTTGGTGGGGTGGATGTCTACATCTCCACCTCCTACGAGATGTTTGTGGTGGACGTGGACCGAGCCACGGGCTTCCACTCGGTGCGCGTCGTGCCGCCGGGGGAAGAGGCGGGCGGGCGCAGCGGCCTCGGCAACGGGAGCCAGCCCTCTCCGGCCGTGCGAGAGGCGCGGACCCACGGGCTCATTACCTACATCACCGTGCGGGAGCAGCAAGCGGTGCTGGTCGTGCGAGCCGTCCGAGACCGAGTGGTCATCACCTACCCGCATGAGATCCACGCCCTGAAATCCAGCCGTTTCTACGTCATCTTGCTGGGCATCGGGGGCACCAGCCCCAACGTCACTGAGTCCCAGGGGCTGCTCTTCTTCCGCCAAGACCAGGCCCACATCGACCTCTTCGTCTTCTTCTCCGTCTTCTTCTCCTGCTTCTTCCTCTTCCTCTCCGTCTGCGTCCTGCTCTGGAAGGTCAAGCAGTTCCTGGACCTGCGGCATGAGCAGCGGCGCCACCTGCAGGAGATGACCAAGATGGCCAGCCGGCCTTTCGCTAAAGTGACCATCTATTTCGAGCCAGATGCGCTGGGGGCTGCGGCCGAGCTGGTCTTCCTCCCCGCGCGGCCCCACAAGCACCCGGCGCTGACCGCTGCCCAGCCCAGCCGGCTGAAGCCGTACCACGAGGTGCCCTATCCTGTGGCCCACTTCCGACGCTCTGAGCCCTTCCTCTCCCACCTGATGGGCTACTCCTACTCCAGCTTCCGGGTGGGACCCATCACCCTGGAGCCGACGGACGACGGGATGGCCGGGGTGGCCACGGTCCTCTTCCAGCTGCCCGGAGGACTGCAGGCCCCCAACCGTGCCTGCTTGGGCTCTGCCCTCGTCACCCTGCGCCACAATCTCCAGGACTACTGCAGTAGCAGCCACGGAGTCAGCAGCTCCCGCAAAGGACTCCTCAGCCACGAGAACCTCACGAGCATGTCCCTCTGAGCCGCCGGGGGAGCCCTGCCAGGCTTCGGAAGGGATGGGACTCAGCAACCCTTCTTCGCCTCGGGGAGGCGGCCTAGAAGGGGTGCGCAGGAGAAGCGCCTTTAAGGGTGAAAGGCAAGGGAAGCATCTCCCGTTATCATGTCATGGAACACAGACCTTGCCACCAGAGGGCGCCGCTGTACTCCTGCAGCTCCAAAGTGTTGGTGTGGGGAGGGAGGGGTCCTCTCTAGCTCCGGCTCCCTCCCTGTCTTCCTTGCGCAGCTGCCCAGGAGGGTGTGGGCAGCAAGTGGCCACCAGCCCAACTCTTCTTCTGCTTTAAAAGTCAGGGACGGGTTTGTCGGAAGGAAACTCCATGTGTTTGTTTGCAGAGGGGATTTGACATCCCCTCTCTGATTTTTCTCAGTGTTGTTTTCCTTTTTTTGCGTTTTAACCCCGTCCCTCCCACCTACTTTTGTTACAGTCCTTTGGCCGCCACTGCCTGCCCACCCACCCCTTCGCACAGACACCGAAATCCCTCAGAAGGTCATAGAGTTTCCCTGACACTGTTTCCTTCCTTGGCAAAATAGCCGAGCTGGAGGTGGTTCTGTGGAGTCAACACAATCAAGTGCTGAATGGGCCATTGCCAAACCTGGTGCCATCTGGATGTTGTTGGACTACAACTCCCATCTGCCATCAGCCCACACACCAGGTTGCCAAAGAGACGGCTTACGTATGTCTTGTACAATTTCAGACTATGGAGGGGGGAGTTGGGGTTCGGGTTTGAGAAACACTCGCTGCACCTACGACGCTAGGGCACCAGGGAGAAGGGCTTGTGCCAAGCCTTCCCGCACGTGTCACATGGCTTCAAATGGCACAGCCTAGGAAAAGCTTTAGCCCCTCGATTCCTGCATTGCAGGGTGTTGGATTTATTGACCCTTGGGGTCCCTTCCAACTCTACAGTTCTGTGACTGAAGTCAACTGGCCCTTCTGTTTTGCTCAGCATTTTGAGAACCGCAGCTTCGCTTCCCAGGGATGTTGCATCACAGTTCTGAGTCAACTGCCTTTTGTGTATGCAGCTCCTGGACCCAACCCCTGGAAGCTGAAGAATCGAGATGCTTTCCTGCAGGAGGAGAGCTGTATCCCCCACCTTATTTATTTACAACGCCAGCAACTTCCTATGTGCACACAGTGTAATATTAACAGGGGGAGAGAGGGTGATGTGGCTCTTCCCCCCCACACACACACTGGAGGAGCAGGTTGTGACTGTCCTTAGTGAAGCAACACCTGAAGTCCAGTGAGAGGCACAAGCCACGACAGTCCGAAGCTTGCAGTTCTCCTATGCCTGCGCTTCACCAGTCAGCTGGAAACCAACATGGCAGCGCTTTGCAACTCAGCTTCAAAGCTTCCCCGAGTGGTTCGGTTCAGTTCATTCCAGGCACCTGAGCCCCACAGCACCCCCAATGCAGTAGGGGACAGGGCTGACCCGCAAGGGGGTTCCAGAGTGTCCAGTTCAGGATGAGGCTAACAACATGGGCTCTTCAGCTCTCGTGCCATCTGGCACAGAGCGCAGGGGCAGCAGAAGCAGAAAGCGCACCAGTCGCCGCACACGCAGCCCTGTGGAAGAGGAGAGGACCATCAGTCGGGGAAAGCCTTGTCTTCGCTCCTGCCTCCAAGCGCCTCCCCACTGCCCCAGATTAAACACCGAACATAGCCAGTGTAGATTGCCTGCTTTAAACCAAATCTAACAGCCATTCCATCTTTTGTTCCGTGGAGGGTTTTCGGCAGAATTCTCAGCACCTCAAACCAGTTCCCACGAATAGCAGGGATGGCATGATGGGAACTATCTACTGATAGGATGTGCTCTCAAGATGAGACCCCCTGGATCTGCATAGCAGCCTGTGTCTCCCCCAAACTCTGTCCTCTGGCCAAACTGCACCAATCCGGCAACCCCTTTCTCCACATTGGACTTTGGTATGTCGCGGTCAAGAGGAAGAGCTGCAAGCTTCCATCTCACCAGTGGCTAATTCCTTGACTCTACCAGACGATGGGCTGTAGCCCGACAAAGAACATGGGCTGCTGCAACAGCTGCTGCGGTGGGATAGAGCTCTGGTGTCCATTGTGCGAAAGGCTGCAGAGCTCTGTGCATTTGCTCCCTGCCTGCCTGCCTGCACCTCCCTCCTTCACCCTGGCTATAACTCCCGTGTGCCAAGCGGAGAGCTCGCTTTTGCGCCTCCTGGCAATCACCTGCTGGAACTTTCCCAGAAGTCCCCCCGGAGACGGGTACCTTGATGCGCAGCTGTTCTCGCAGGCCCGTCCGCATGGCCACAAGAGCCCCCGGCAGGAAGGGGACACAGAAGCACTCGCCGTACTGCGCGGCCACCTTGCACATGAGGCAGGGAAGGCAGAAGATCCCGCAGAAACCTGGGGGAGGGGGCAGAGAGGGCTTCAATTTGACATGGAGATTGCCAGGTCGAGCCCTGGACAATTTTCTGCAACGCTAACACTCTGCACTGGACCCTGAAGCCGAGCGCCTTTGAGCCAAATACCTGTAAATCAGCAAACGGGTACGGAAGAACAGAGACTCCGTTGGGGAAAGACATGCCTTTGAGGCAGGCTTGAGCCCTGCACCCAAGAGGTGCCAGGCAGCATTAGGGTGGCTTTGCTGCAAGATGGGGCGCGAAGCAGCCGTGCCCATGGTACCCTCCTCCCTGCCCCCGGCACTGTCAGTCCCCAGCAACACTCACATATTGATTGGTCCGAGCTGCAGTCCGTCAGTCCCGATTTCCAATCCCTGTATGGACACGGGCAGCTGCTGTTGATGGCCGCAGGCTGAGTGACCACAGGGCAAGGCTGGAAAGCCATGAAGGAGAATGGTGCCAGGAAGAGAAGGCACTCCAAGGATCGGAAGGAAGAGGTCGCCAAGTATCAGCTCCCAGTCACAGGGATCCAGTTTTCAGCTACTTTCCCAGTTAGATATCATCCGGGGGAGCGCTTGAATTACCGAGACTCGTGTCTTACGGAGCAGTTTGGAGGAATTTGCAAAGGCTTGCAGCTGGAACACAGCGCACCTGCGATGATGGGAGGCTGTGGGTGTGAGTCTTGGCACACAGAAGAGAAGGTGGTTGCAGGTTGCACAGAATCCAAAAGCTCATTTTGCTACTGTTCCTGCCACTCCAAACTGGCGGCAGGGAAAAGATTATAATTTCAAAAGGAGGCTGAGCGTGCAACACAGCTGGAGAAGGAAGGTGCGTGGGTGTTAAACCACTGACTCAGAAATGCCTTCAGCTGCACTCAGTGGCCAGGCTGTTAAAGGAAGGGGCGTCCCCAGGTGTGAAATGTCTTGAAAGCCCTGCCCCCTGAGCCCAAATGTGCAGTGGCAAGCTGTGCTGTTTGAACAGCGATGAGAAAAGTGTGTTTAACAGTCTGCCACATGCCAGCCTTGTAGGTGGCACCAGATTATTCAGGAAGGTAACATCTGCATAGAACTGTCCAGGAACTCTTCTAAATGGGGTGGCTGGGAAATGGTATGGATGTTGTTCAGCGTAAGTGCGGAGAAGCCCGGGTGGGGGTGAATCCTGACTCGATGTGCATGCCATTGGGGCTCAGATTGGCTGCAGCGTAACCACCGACGATGGGTTTGTCTTCGGGTGGGTGGAACAAGCACTTCTCCAAAAAGCAAACAAGCCAGGCCATAGGGTGTTCCGTGTTGTGCAAGTGCAATAAGCTTTGCACAGGTGCACCAAAGTGCAAAAAGGTTACTTGTGTATTTTGAAGAGCAATAGTGTAGGATGGTGGGGTGGTGGATCGTGGGCCTCATTCAGCCCCACCCTGGCAACTTGGAAGTGGCACCTAAAAACAGCAACACCCCTCGGAAACTGCTCTGCACCATTAGCAGCAGCAGCAGTTTTCAGGGATTTAAGGAAGAGCACTGATTTTCGGGGAGTTGGGGACTGTGGCAGCAGAACCCCCCCAGTTCTGCTGCCTCCACGTTATCGAGCATTCCAGCTCAGTAACATGGGAGCGTTTCAGTCGACAGTCATCACAGCGCTTCATGGGATTGTAACAGACTTGGACTGAACCTGGTGCACTCTGAAAGCTCTCCCCACAAATTGGGTCAAAGCAGTGGGGATCATTTCCCCCTGCAGAGTTGGCAGCTGACCCCTTGCTCACGTAGCCGAGCCTACCAAGCAGCCCATCTGCATGCCAGTTGCTTCATCTTTAAGAACGACACGAGCCAATAAGTAAATTATTGACGGATTTGACACATGAGTACACGATGGTTTTTTCCAATAAAATCTTATAAATTATTTGAGCGCCTCTTTATGGCAGGGGTGTGTGTTTATCTGTTTTCAGACAACAGGATGGCTTCGTTTTCTTAACTGCTGAGATCTGACCAGTTTTAATAAAGTAAGGCCAGTTTTATAGTGTGTAGGTCAGGCATAGGCAAACTTGGCCCTCCAGATGTTTTGGGACTACAACTCCCATGATCCCTAGCTAACAGGACCAGTGGTTAGGGGTGATAGGAATTGTAGTCCCAAAAAACATCTGGAGGGCCAAGTTTGCCTATGCCTGGCATAGGTCTATCAATGGCTAATAGTCATGCTGTATTTTCTCCCAGAGAGATCTAATTAATCTTTACACCCCTAGTTCCAAAGAGGTGGTGTTGACCCTCTGCAGCTGAGCATAGGAACCCACCCACACCGCAGCCTAACGTGGCCTGTGAATCTCGCCTGCTTCCTCTCATTCCTCCTCATCCATGTGCAGGCCCAGACAGGGGGGGGGGCATATGGGCCACTTGGCCCGGGCCTCCGATTCCAAAGGGGGCCTCAGCCAGCATAGTCACAATCGCAGGGGATGCACTGGGGCCAACGCAGAAGCGCAAAGGCGGCGGCGGGCGAATTCCCTGGGGCCATGGTTGGCAGCACAAGAGAAAAGCTTCCCCGGGGTCAGCATAACTTTTGTGAAAATTATTTATATACTTACTTATTTATAAGACTTCAGTTATCCCCAGGGTAAAAGAAAAAGAAAAAGGTGGGGGCACATTATCTACCTGGCCCAGGCCTCTGCCTGGCTCTGCAAAGCCCTGTTCAGGTGGCATTTTCCAATTGCTGCCGACCCATACTTTCTCCCTAAATCCAGATATTCCCTAGTAATACTAGCACATCGGAGAGTGTGCTATGCGGTGTTGCTGGCACTCGTATTGTCTCTAGAGATAATGGAGTGTGTCTCTGGAGGGTGAAATCAAACCGCTGCGTTACCAGCACCAAAGTTTTTCCTCCTGATCTTAAAGATTTGGTTTTTAAACAAACAAACAAACGGATTAAAGCTTTGTATCATGTTACAGCCCCTACTACATCAAGGTGCAGACCCTCTCACAGCTTCATTTCTATATACTACAGTGGTACCTCGGGTTACATACGCTTCAGGTTACAGACTCCCCTAACCCAGAAATAGTAACTCGGGTTAAGAACTTTGCTTCAGGATGAGAACAGAAATTGTGCTCTGGCGGCGTGGCAGCAGCGGGAGGCCCCATTAGCTAAAGTGGTGCTTCAGGTTAAGAACAGTTTCAGGTTAAGAACGGACTTCCGGAACGAATTAAGTACTTAACCCAAGGTACCACTCTACTGGCAAAGTCAGCACCCTGACAAGCCCCAAAGGGATACCAAGGATTAAAACAGTGAGAAAAAGTCCACACCCAGATTAGTTTTTAATTAACAGCTTCTATGAAGAGGAGTTTGGGTTTAAATTTAAAAGGGCAAAGGGAGCTTTGTTTGCTGGGAAATTAGGCAGTCTTAGATGCTTCGTGTGCCGTCCCTCCCGATTTGTTTCTGGGACGGCTTAGCAACATTTCATAAAAGCAAGGGGTTGTCTTGCACCTTCCAGCGCCCGTCCTTTATTGAAACAAAAAGCCCAATATTTCGTTGTGCAAGTCCTTCCAGTGAGCTCCTAATTTAGCTGCTCGAACTGCCTGCTGCATGGTGAAATCCCACTTGAAACTAGAACCAGTCAGGAAGCAAAGCCGGAACGCCCCATTATTGGAACAAGAGGCCTTTCATGGTGCATCTGCATTTATTAGCCAAGTTGCACAAACTGATAACATAGATAGATGCCTGATTAAATCTTAATTAAACCATTGACTAATAAGGGGTGTTTCACACAAAACAGAATTAATTGTCTTTTGGTTTGTCACCTAAGATAAAGGCACGCGGCAGGGGCAGTGTCCACCTCTGGTGACCTACTTCTGCAAGTGACTTCCACTCATGCAAATGGTGTGTACAAGAATTCAATAGGGTATAAATATTAGCTTGGCAGAGGAACATAACTTGGCATTCCTGCTTCACTCTGCAGAGGAGTTCTGTGTAACCTGGAAACGCTCTAGAATTTTAAACACAAGCCGTTCCAAAGGCATTGCCTTACTGGGTCTGTTTCTGCATCAGGCAGAGCAATCCTAAATCCAGGAAGCTGGTGGAACTTAATGCCGGTTTAAAGGTAAAGGGACCCCTGACCATTAGGTCCAGTTGTGACTGGGGTTGCGGCGCTCATCTCGCTTTATTGGCCGAGGGAGCCAGCGTACAGCTTCCGGGTCTTGTGGCCAGCAGGACTAAGCCGCTTCTGGCAAACCAGAGCAGTGCACGGAAACACCGTTTACCTTCCTGCCGGAGCGGTACCTATTTATCTACTTGCACTTTTGACGTGCTTTCGAACTGCTAGATTGGCAGGAGCAGGGACCGAGCAAGGGGAGCTCACCCCGTCGCGGGGATTCAAACCGCCGACCTTCTGATAGGCAAGTCCTAGGCTCTGTGGTTTAAGTTACCCTTACTCCAGATTCCATTCGGGGCAAGACTATACTGCTTACTCAAGTCATCCCAAGCCTGCTGCAGGGAAAACAAGCCTTGAAAGGAGAATTTCACTTATGCCACACAGCTGTAAATCTCTCCTTGCCCAGTCCTGCCATGCTGCTTTTGGGGAACAAGCCAGCTTAAGTTTGGGCAGTTTAAGTGGGGATGAGGGAGTTACACTTGCAAGACCTCCAAACTCTCATTCAGGTGGATCCTGGGTTCGGAATACACTATAAGCAGAAAAGCAAGATTCTAGCAGAGTTAAATGCTTAGCATGGGAGGAGTCGCTCTGGAGTTACTGCTGCAAAACCAACAGAGATTCTTGCAGCACCAAAATGTAATTCTGGCAGCTTTTCACTCCACAAAAAAAGCTTAATGAAACTGCTAATCCCGAAGGCGCTACAAAACGGCTGCAACAGATTAATACGGCTACCCCTCTGGAAAGTGCTGCAGAAACATTTCTTGCAGCTGATCTGTGCAACTTCCATCAAATAGGGAGGCAGGAGGTGGTGAAAGCCGTGGCACTCGCTCTCTTCGGCCTCCTGTTTGAAGTGCCGACTGACCAGAAGCCAGAGAATGTGATCAAGGTAAGGCAACCAAAAGATTATGGAAGCCACACCTCAGGCTCACCAAAAGCAGCTTATGTGCAGCCCAACCTGCTGAGCAGGACTTGGAAGTGGACCGCAGCTCCTGTTGCTGCTACTGGGGTTGAACATCAGCTGTAGATCTCTATCCCCTTCCACAAGTTTGCCCAATCCATCTTGTGTTCTAACACCTTCTAAACTTGTTGCCGTCCCCCTTTTCTTGTGGCAGGGAGTTCCATAAGGCAGCTAATGCATTGAGCGAAACTTTATCATTGCTACGGCAGTAACACCCATGGTCCTCATTCCTCCAACACAGGATAGGCAGATGAGATGACTGAGAAGCTCACAGGCAGAGCAATGAGGCAACCACTTCCCCTTTCACCTGGAAATTGGGCGTACGGCCTTCAAAGCTTTTCAAGGTGGTTCCTGGATGCCAAGTGCGATTCTGCCTTCTCGTTCCCCTC